AGGCTCAGTAATTGCCGATTGGACAGCTGGTGAAATAATTGGATTTACATCCTAATCAGGAAAGAATGTACGAACCAACTTTTCCAAATCACCCCGTGCAAACTGCCACACCAGGAATAGCGCCTGAAACGGTAAACCTTGAAAAATTAATCGTATGTTCGACTCTTTATTAATTAATTCTTCGTTCCTGAGTAAGACTAAATGAGGGTTGAGGGAAATACGTATGAGGCTATTCATTCTAGAATGCTGATCATAAACTTTAGGTCAAAAAAATGGAGCTGTATGAAATCAACATAGTTTTATCAGATAGCCAAAACAATCTCTAACCAGTGCTAGTACTAAACATTACAAGAAAGTGGCCATAATTTAATTCTAGACATCATGCAATACTATGAAATACGACTATTAGCGATAACGTCTTCAAAAACGTTGAATAAAATGGCGTATAGAGGGCTTACTCGATCACAAGAGGACTCCAGGCCAAAGGGATAATATTTAAACGGATGTTGACACAACTAAGAAAACGAGGAAATTCCCGCTGCGAAAACGTTTAGTTCAATCAAAGTCAGCTGAGTAGACTTTCGAGGGGAATGCAAAAGTTGTGCACATACCTAACAGCTCAATGCGAATTGAGCCGATACGATGAGAAGCAGCAGCGGTTGAATTCTGGCTTTGTACGAGAGAGGATGAGCCCGCTGCAGATACGGGTTCATCAAGGAGGAGGTGGATCATGTACAGTCGACCCGCCATATCACCCAGGAGGTAGCGCTTAGCATCCACCTGAGCGTAACATAGAACTTGGCTGGCCTATAGGGTAAAAATAAAGCGCAACTAATGGTACAGACGAGCGCACAAAGAAGTAGATAAATAAAGTAGCGTTTTCAAGGCTAACCTTAGTTTGTGGAATGTATTGAGATATGTGGGGGCCGTCCTTGGAGTGGTAGCAGATGATGTTGTCCCCGGCCAAAATCAGACCACCGTAGGGCGCCGGTACAGGGATGAGAAGTTTCGAGTCGGGTTCGATGGAGTCGAGTGTGGGGGGAACAGAGCGGAAAGCCGGCTCCCTACCAAAGATCTCGTAGGTCTTCATGTGCAAAACCACTTCATCCTCATATATCAGGGAAAAGGTGGGCAAATTGTAGCCATGAAGAAAAGCCATAGCGACAATGTTGCCCTCCTCTATTCTCACGCTGTGTGCTCTCAAGGCCGGATGGCTGCCCTCAAGAAGATCTGAAGAATTTGTCTTATCGCCAAGGCCACGCAGGGGGATTACATTGAGGAGACCGTGGTAGAGTCTAATCACGACATAATTTGCATCCGGATCAACTAATGCATCGATGCCTTGATCAATCATACGGGCACTTCGATCCTGAGGGGAGAGAGGGGATATGTGGTTGGACCAACAAGGTAATGCTTACCGCTATGCTACCTGACGAGACAGTCGTGAATTCGATGGCGCTATCAGTACGAGTGCACTCGATGATGGCAACCTCAGCGTTACCAGTGAGCAGAAAGAGAGAGCTTGACTTCTGGCCCTACGAATGTGCGATAACAGAATAGATACGGAGGAGAGTAAAGAAATACCTTTCGCCGGAAGAGGAGGGCTGACACAATCTTTGCATTAACAGGAACATCGCGCAACTGCTTTAGACCTTCAACAGTCACATCGAAGACTTCTACACATGTGTTTTTGACGATTATTAGATTCAGATCATCGGGGCCGGTGAAATTCCCTAAAATGCAAAGGGGTTAAGATGAAAGTACTATAAATTATGAGCTGAAGACTAATTCAAGATATGCAGAATTGGATGTTGCGTCAGAATATACTGATATTTCAGTATGTGAGTCTATTTGATACGGGAAGTGGTGGTTTGGGTTTGCAGCTGTCAGACATAGCACGATTCACCTTTTACAAAATTTTGCGGAGCTAAGTTATGTAAACTGAGTGCTACGTTGAAAATCAATTAGGTCGACTACTGACAGTCAAGGTGGAAATAAATAACTAACCATCCTAAATTATCAAACATAGCAAGAGATCACTGTCCACCGACGTGTTCTAGTCAAATCAATTCATTGACTCAAAGAATACATCTAGGTGAAAGCGTTGATATTGTCCAGGAAAAAACAAAGAAATGATAAGGAAATATATTGGTTGGGATACAAAATTTGGGAGTTATTCGTCTCATTAAGTAAACGAAAAGGTCAAGTAACCTTCGTATCACAGACGAGTTTCACAGTACTGGACAAATGGTCTTGGCGAATGATATAGTATCTGTATGCTCAATCGCGAACGGATCCCGAATATAGCAAGTGATGCACTTCAGACATATGAATACCGATTCAACCTGCAAACTCCTTTTTTTATCCTGACGGTATTACAATTATGATTTCGAAAACAACAAACAAAACAATAATTGCCTACGAAATAGTAAATGACTGTATAACATAAACGGTCATTTACATGCATTTCTATCGTTATTATCTATGCGTCAACGCCAACTGCTGTCCATAGCGATAAATATAGCCACTGGATGAACGGTACTTCTACTTGTTACGGCTGTGATCAGGTCTGATCTAGCCGGCCTCAATGATGTCACGGACGGTACCCCTCCACTCAAGAAGATTAGCGGCAGCGGATCTGGAAAGCTCCACCCAGTCTTTTCTCCAGCGATGGAAACCGAAGGTAGAAGGTCCAAGAACTGTTTCCATGTCTTGACGGACGGTGTCAAGCCAAGTCTTCAGTTGCCCTCCTCTTCAACGATGATAAACGGTCCCTTGGTGTGGTCTATGGATCGCCAGCGGAGAATAGGGCAGGCCAACTAAGCCGAGTGACTCTTCAAACAAGCGATTGGCTGAGTATTGTGTTGCAGTGATCAGAAGCGGCTTTTCGTCATGAGTACGTGCTTCCAGACTTACGGCGAATATTTTCTGGCTTGCTATTCCGACGACAGTTATGAAATTAACCAGAATCACTCCATTCTAGACTGCTATGCATTTGAATGCATGACAGCAAATCTATATATGCTACCGAAACCGGCAATCTATGGATCAGATCATGTACAAGTTGGAATAAGCTGTAAGGTTCACTTCTCGTTTACGCACAGCATGTATCGGACAACGCACCTTGGTGAAATGTCACCCAAACATGGCCAAGGCTTTGAACACGGAGATTTTGTCATATTCTGTAGTCAAAGTCGAAGGAGGTTGTGGTAAATATCCATTGCTTAAGTCCTCTATTAACGTGGCAAAGTAGACAATCTTTTAGTCCCACCGCGCAATTTATCATCCACAGCTATCTCTAGCAGCAGTTTGATATTCGTTTGGTACTTCCATATCGTTGCCTTCTACCGCCCGTTTTACTTAGCTGTCATTGACTAGATGTTCGAAAGGCCTGTTTTAGAGTTTTTATGTGGTCGAATTTGAACTAGAAAGATGGCCCGCTGATTCGATTACACCGCCGAGATCATTTTCTCAGCATCAAGGAAAAATGGTGTGTGGAATGCAGTGATTAAAAAGAATGACTCCCTAACTCGGCCGGTGCAACAATCAACGCCGCGATGACCAAAGGATTACTGAGTCGTTGCAGTTATCAAGATAAGAAACTCTCTGTGATTATCGATTGTCAGATGGAACAAAGGGGGTATTTTAAAAATATCGAGGTTAGGTCGACCGAATTGAGGCTACCGACTAGTTTTCTGCATGCTGTTGAAGACTTGTGTACCCATCGCGATATCTATATCGTTCCTGTAGTCCCCGTGGATAGGGTAACAACCCTGCCTACCCTCAGATTCGGGACAAGACAAGTGGGTTACACCATCTTGCAACGCTAGCAACTGCTGGAATAGGCTCCCTTTCAAAATCATGCCTAACGACGGTAACCTAGACGCCATTTGTTACAGACGGCTGGAGGTTTTGTCATTCCCGCGATGAGACTCCAACTGCAATCCTATACGAGAGCATAACGTAAGCAGACGCCGGCTAAGGTAAATGCGGTATTATTGGATATGACTGGCGCCCATTGAATTTAAAATTTTGCAAGGACCTTTAACAGGAGAGTATGTGAGATCAGGGGGCAAATGACAATCTCAGGACGGAATGGAGGAAGCTGCGTAAAGCAATCTATTTCACTGCTTTGAAAACCGTTATTCACAAGTTGTCAGCACCAGGATTGATTTGATGACGGCGAAAAGACCTGACGCCTAGTATCCGACAAAAACAGTACATCTAGAGAGAGACTGGCTCCAGATACATAACGTGGGTTTCAGTGTTGCTCGATAATTACTCCCAAGCTTGAACAATCACCTGGATGATAAAACCTTTCAGAAACACAAAGTAGATTTAGAAACGCCGAAGAGCAAATGATATTAAATTGCAAAGAAAGTGTCGGGAAATGATTAACACCCTTGTTAATCTAACAGAAAACAGGGAAGAAGCATAGAAAACCAGGTCAAATGCGGGTGTCGTGAGCAGTCCGTGCAGATTAAATAACTACAAGACCGCGTGGTGACGCGAGTAACAGAAAAAGCGTCGGTTTCGGAAACATTTGCGTTGAGATGTGGAGTGAACAAGGACTGCTTATTCGCTCCCGCTGTTTTCAACCTCGAGTTACTTGCAGGGGTGAGATGAGTGCCGCCCCCCACATCACAAAACATTACGACCGCCGCCAGCATCACTCATGCGGAAAATTCCCTCTCTATCCTCTCTATAAATACCCCCACTCTCTGCACCACCAATGTATATGCAGTCCAGCCTGCCCCGATTCAGACCGCGCTTCTGAATCGAGCATAGTTTTGATCGATCATTTGTGGATCCATCATAACGATCTAACGAACCAGTGCCAGGAACACTGTCATAAATGTCAGCCTTCCATATTACTTGTCCGCACTGTCTTTGGACAGTCACATGCGTTTGCAAGAAATTTTGCAGTTAAGTAACACGGTCCAGGTTTCATGGCAAAACTTCGCTATGTGTAGGCACGATAACCACGGCAGCGTCACATTACCGCTCGTGTGAAAAGTATGCATTGAAGTTCGCAACCGTCAGTATGGCGGATAAGAAGTGGTGTGAGAATACGCACATATCGCTCATGTGGGAATCGGTGCAACCGGGTAAAGGAGTCGTGCATGACACACGTAGATTTGTTATTTAGCTTTTTCAACTACGGCGCCAATCTTAATATTTGTCCTTTTGACTGAGGCAAGCCAGTGTTGCATGAAAAAGAGAAGACAGTACCAAAATACAGTAAAATTATAACGTAAGCTACATCACAGTGTGGAACCTACAACCCACGGGCCCTAAGCCCGTAATACCTCAGAAAAAGGAGGCTACAGGGCAAAGTGACGGAAAAAGTAGGCAGAAACTTAGAGGTATAGACGACCTACTATCGTGAAACACATTCCCATGAGAATGAGCGCAGAAGGATGATTGGCAAGAGCTTGTAGCAGAGAATGGTGCAAACAGTGCAAAACCAGTAAACCTTTAAAGATAGTCCGTGCAACTAAATGTCGCCACTAATGTTGTTGACATATGTACGGCAGGCAAATAAGTAAGACTGCAAATTAAGATTACGGCCAGCCGTTTGGTTTACAACAAAGTACAGAAGCACAAATCGCTCGAATAATTTGTTCATTGACAAAGAGAGAAACAAATAAGCATACCCGTTAAGGCCCTTACTACGGCCATAGACCTTTGATTTGTCACATGGTAAAATTGCGACATTTCAACGGCAAATCAAACAGCCCGCCAAAAGATAAGGTCCTGGTACCTAAACTTTTTAGTTTCTGGTCAAGGTTTAAAGATTGCCGTTGGCTAGCTAACTATTCCGGATCTATGAATTCTCAATCAACTTCACAAGCCTTACACCTCACTAGTAAAGGAGCTATCCGGACCCTCGATTTTATCGAAGCAGCATATACTTTGGGGGAAATCAGCACCTAGGTAATTGAGGATATTGCAGCATTAAAGCCCTCACTTTAGCCTCCTTATTAGGGAGAGAAGGCTTTCGCAATTGAGCTCCCTATTCATATTCAAAAATCGCAAAATAGTTCAACCCTAACAATGTAGGTTTTACATCAGCGATAAGTGTGAGCCAGTTGCAAACTGCTGCTGGTGACACTCTGTTCATTATAGCTGTCACAGTTTCTGAGCAAATGAGAATCAAGTCTAAGTTTAAACGTGTCAACAGTATCTGAGAGGAATACCTCGTCGGAGAGTCCGTCCCACGCTCCAATGACCCTCTGAGAGAAGGCGTTCCGTCGAACGGCCGCAAGAGCCGGCTTACTCTGCAGTTTTAAGGGATGACCCCGCAGATAATCCGTTTGAGCCAATTCGAGGATTTCATCAAATTCTAGGGCGTACTCACGTCCTCTGACAAGCCGGTGGGTTTGAATGAGGTCAGAGAGGAGTAGCTTTTAACTGAGAGGAAATCGATGAAGTTCGGTCAATCTGTCTTCTAAGGGCAGAGGACCAATATTCTTGACCATCTTTGCAGCCCTCGCTTGAACTCCTTCCAGGTGCAGTTAATCCTTCTTAAGCCATGGACGCCAGGCCTGGACGGCATCCTCCAAATGAGACCAAACAAATGTTCCATACGTTTTTCTGAAGAGTTCCTTTTTGATGTGGACGAATTCTCGTCTAATCGCAAACAGCACCTGTGTCACACGTAATGCTGCCTTTAGACACTGTGAAGATGGTTTAAGCGAGGATTTTATTAGAAAACCGAGGTCTTTTTT